CTGCTACCTGAACCTTTATAACCCTACCCTCTTAACTGGCCAAAATGGGAGCACCTATTTTGCTAGACCTTTTTCATTTAAGGGGGACAGCCACCTTATGACAGGGTTCTTTTTAGTTATGTTTTGGGTTTTGAGCCTTTAATGTGACTTGGGTCACATCTTTTCAACCTCTCTCTACTGTCATGAGAGCTAAAAACTTTTTTAAAAGTAAGTTGAGATTCTAATGTAAACATAGGGTTCTAGGAGTTGGGGCTTTAAAAAAAAAATCACATATTGGGAGGTTTGTGATAAAATTGCAAGAGTTGGCAACATTGCAGTATGATTCCTCCAGACCACACTGCATTGCAGTGAGAGATGCTGGGCATCCACAGCTTTTGCTGACTTCATCTGCAGTTCAGAGTGCTGCATTTCTGCTTATCAGGGCCCTGTCTGAAATTGGACATCCAGCAAATGAGGAATGTACCATTAGTGGCCACATGCCAATGTCTGGTTTAAAGTGACTTGCTCAGCATTACAAGTCAGTGTGTGGGACAGCCAGGACTAGGACTGTGTGGAATTCACTTGTCCTAATCACAAGAAAATAGTTTGTCTTCCTGCAGCCCTCTGCCTTGCTTTCTAAGCACAACTTCTAGAGCAGGTGACACAGATCCTACAAGCAGTCTGATTCAGTACACAGTGGAGAGTCATACCCTGGACACCATCCCTCCATCACCCAATGATCATAATTAAGGACTGCATCATAATGCATATACACAAGGGGGATGAATTAAAGTTGCCCATGCAATCTGAATTGCTGGCATTTTCTAACTTTTGAGTGCTTGATTTTTCAATCTAAATAATAGTCTTTGAACAGTTTGTTTGTAATTTCCAGGTGCCAGCTCCTGCCAAGGCCCTTCAGTCTCACTTGAACACTGACAAATGCATGGTTAGAAATCAGTCCAGCTCACCTGTGTGTTAGTATTGTTAAAATGAGTATTACTTTTATAGAGATCTGTTTAGTGTTTGGATTTTATTAAAGTTTTTGAGTTGTTGCATTTGTTAATCTCACATTATCTGTATCCCACTGTGATGGTGTGCACCCACCTCTTGTGAGCACCTCCTGTTTTGTGTGTGTGAGAAACTGCACACTCTCTCTGCGCCCCCTGACAGCTGTTAACCTCGTCAGGTGGGTCTTTAGTGGCTCAGCCCTCCAGCCAAGTCACATACAGTCTCTAAGCACAAACAAATCCCTTTTGGGGTAAAAGGTTCAACAGGGTCTGTCCTTGTTAAAGTCTTTAGCCCTGTCTCTGGGCTCAGTCCTCAGTGCCTTCTGAGCTTTAAGTCCATGTCTGCCCTGGTATAGAGCAGTGCCCCCGGAGCTTTCTCCCTGGGACTTATGCCCTTCACTTGGGTCTCTAAACAAGGCTTAACCCCTTCTCAGGGCTCAGGCCAGTGACTGGTGGGGAGAACCTGGGCCCAACCACTACTCCAGGTCCCAACCCTGGGACCCTATAAGTAGCAGCTGCTTTCTGTAATAGCTGCTGCTGCTATTCCCTGAGCCACTTCGCACGTAGCCCCTTCCGCTTCACCTTTACCTCAAGGCTGAAGTTTTCTGTTCTTTGTTTGTGCAGGGTCTCCCCCAGGCCTCCTTGCTTGGGCAGTTTCACAGCTGTCCAGTCCTTCCTCAGGGCTCTGGACCCAGCCAGCAACTGATCTGCTTAGCCCCAACAGCTCCTGTTATCTGAGCCTGCTGTGTTCCTATTGGCTGCTTCCCTGCAGACTTTCTAGGGAGACCTGGAGGACCCACCCTTACTGCTCCTTTTCTGGCTTGGGGTGTGGTAGGACGGCAAGGCCTCCTGCAGGAGACATCAAAGGTCCTGGTACACCCCCATCACACCTAAGTTATAAGCAGGAATCCTAGAAATCTGTTTTTCACAAAAAATGTGGAATTTGCATTTTTGTACAGAGAATCTTTAGTTTTTACATTATGTGCAAAAATAAAAACAGAAGCCCATTTATCTGAGCCTCCATTTTCTGGCTCTCTGTATTAATTGAACTGGGGCTGACCACCTGAGCCTGCCACCAGGAGTTGAAGCTCTCCAAGTTATCTGAATTTTTGATTATCCGATCTGGCCCCGATCCCAATTAGATCAGATAAGCAGGGTTCCACTGTATTGTGGCTAGGGAAACCTCAGTTCAGCATTTCATTTTAATCATGGAAAAACACAGATTTTTATGTTGTTTTTTATCAGAGAATGTTGGGGGGATTTTACCATAGAAACCTTATAACCAGGGATTCTAATTAATATTTAAGTGTTTGTTTGCTTTTGTAACTATCAAAGTATTTGCTATGAAGCTTGGAAACCTAACTAGTCAGGAGAGAAACATTACCAAGTGTGAAATACTAGTTTACCACAAGAGGTGTCATCTGCTGCCCAACAGAAGGCCTATAGACACCAGACAAACAATTTTGGCACCTCAGTGCACAAAATACTTTAATTACTCCCTCCGCACCCATGAAGAGGGGATGTGCACAAACCTTCCACCCATCACACTTTGAACTGGGGGAAAGGAATAAAAATCCCTGCCAGAAGGATCTCTATCATTATGCTTCTTGGAATTTGGAGAGGGCAGTATTTCTAAGTATAAGCAAGGTATTCCCAAACTTCTTAACTTGAGTTAGCCTTAAAGGACATATAGAGCTTGCACATTGCAGCCGTTTCTATTACTTTTTGAAACCTAAGACTGTAACTCAATTGTGGGTATGTGTTTACCTGCTTTAACTTTGTAAAGGTTCTTTTTCTTAGTTAATAAACCTTTAGTTAGTTTAATATAGGATTGGCTACAAGCATTGCCTTTGGTTAGAGATCTAAGATACAATTGACCTAGAGTAAGGGACTGGGAGTGACCTGAATGTTATTGTGATTTTTTTTTTTTTTTTTGGTGTAGGGGACCATGTGTCACAAAGGCAGGCTTGCCTGGGTGGCAAGATAGACCCGAGTGCCCTAGGGGACTGTCTGTGACTCCATGTTAAAGCTGGTATAGTGGTTGGGTAGTTCACATTTGACACTTGGTTGATGAAATCTAATTATAGAACACACAACCAGTTTGGGGTTTGTGCCCTGGTTTGTAACAGTCTGCCCTGAGGTTGGCACCCACGTTTGTGAACCACTCCAGACAGCTTGACAGCCCGTGCACCATGAAATTGCTGGCATTGTCTAACTTTTGTGTTTGATTTTGCAACTTAAGTAATATCCTTTGAACAGTTTGTCAGTAATTTCTTAATTTTGTTTCCTAAAAGGAAAAGAGATACAAACAAACGTTGTTATATGCAATAGTAACGGTTCCCCTCCCCTCTCCAAAAAATCGTGCATCATCAGCAGGATTTAAACCTTGAAACTTCATCACTATAGCACAGCTTGAGCTACAGCTAACTATATTAGCAAGTAGAAAAAGACTTGCTCTGGTGGAAGTGGGAGAAATGTGAGGAGGAGCAAGATTGGTTCTATCTTCTCTCCCCCCCCCCCCTCCAGTGGGGGAGGAGTACCTTCCCTATCTTGTACTTCCAAGAAGTGGGGAAATGGCTAAGTAGGGCTGTGTGCTGGGTCAATGTACATAGGATGGGGATTGTCAAGGGGAGTTCAACCCATCTCTCCCCTCACTCCCCAAGAAGCTGTCTGCTGCTGTTGTTAATCGGTGTCACGTGTGATGCTCCTGCCTTGGCAATGTGAGCCCAGCCTTAGTTTGCAATGTTAATGTTCAGTTATTTTAGTATGCTACCACAATTTTGTTGACAAGGCAAGTAACAGAAGGGAATGGTGGTTTTTTTCATAGTTCAGATTTCAGCCAAAACTGAACAGAATGAAGGGACAGAGAAAAGGCATTTCTCTGTCTTGTGCTCTTTTCTCCTACCAAATTTGACTGTTTAATAATGGAGGTGTTAGAGCTTTTCAGTAAAAAAAGTCATTCTTTTCTATTAGAAAATGGTAGGCAATCTAAGTATGGGGTTTGTTGCTACCAGCTCACTCTACAATAATTTGCAAGAGCTGGGTTAGTGTACTGAAGCCTAAATATTTTGCACTATTTCTAAACTTAGACAATCTTGTGTTTATACATTGGAAAATTTAAGTGAGCCCTCTTATAGTTGCTGGAAAATATAGGGGCTGGAAAATCTATTATCTTACCCTGTGTTGCAGATTCTACACTGGTGTTCCAGATCCATACGGATTCTTTTTGGTACTAGAATGACTTTCGTGTTCTCTGAAGGTTTCAAATATTTTAAGTTTTAGGTCCCCAAATTCACTTGCCATAATATTGCCTTGAAGTTGTTGGGATTTTTTCCCCCCTCCTTAGGTGTTTTGCCTTCTGTAAATGGTGACGACAGTACTATAGTGTTAATTTGAAAAATATAATGTTTGGGGTATTTTTTTGAATTAAATACAGTCTCCATCATAATGTATACAAAGACTTGTTTGTATGCAGATATTTATTTTCTTTTAAGAACTGCGCGATGAAGCCATCGGTGGCTAACAAAAAAAAAATTGGGATCCCTTTTCTTCATGCATGCCACGTGTGAGGATTTTGTTACATATTCCTGGACCTAAAATTCTGATTTATTTTCTGAGTGTCACTTACAGTTTAACAATGGTATTTAGCTGTACCTTCAGATGTACATTTAAAAATATTTGTATATGGGATATTCACCTGGTATTCTTACATTTTAAAACCCCTTAATGTTTAATCTATGACTTGGCAAATGTGACCAAACTGAAACAAGAAACCAAGCTATGTCTGAGATATTACTTGCTGTAAATCTACTTCTGTTATGGAAAACATCTCTTCGGTCTTAAAAATGTAGAGGAGTAAAATAATCTGGTAATGGTGGATAATGGACGACAGGGGTCACATCAAGCAGTTTGATTTAGTTACATTGCTGTTCCATTTATGGGTTTGTTTTGTTTTGTTTTTTCATTGTTTGATTCCATTTCTTATTCCACTCCTCCTTTTCTTATTCATTCTAGGAACCTGATTGTGAATTCACAGTTTCTCAGGTAAAAAAATTTCATAAGTACTAGTATTTGAAAAAACACTGAGAATAGTTTATAGCATGTTGTATAGTGATGTTTGTTTCATTTAATTCCTTAGGGCTTGTCTACATAGAGACTTAGTGCATGGCAAGCCAGGGATGTGAATCTACAGCTATGTGTGTAGCCCCACTCCGCCCCAACCCTGTTCAGCCCCTAGTCCTGCTCCTCCCCCAACCTCAGCTCTCATTTCCTTTTCACGCCCATGCCAGCTTCACCTCTAGCCCCAGCTCCTCCCCCAGCCCCAGTTCCGGCCCCAGCTCCACCTTCAGCCCCAATTCCACTACTGAGGAAGCCTTGGCTGTACAATAATGGGGGGAGGGGTGGAGGCATGGACAGATTCCGTTAATGGTAAGGGGGGGCACAACTGGAAAGTTTGTGCACCACTACATTAATGTATCCTTACAATTTCGTATTAGGATAATTCTGAAAGAAGTAACAGAAAATTGCTGTGCGTGGTATTGCAGTAAAGGATTAAAATAGGCTGTTTTTTAAAACCTGTAGTTGGTACTAATAAAATGGAATATATTTAAAAACTTGTAGATTTTGGCCTTACTGTGTAAACTGAAAAGCAGAAAACACATTCCATATTAGAATAAAACAACATATAGCAGGAACTGCTACAAGTTTTTGGTAGAAAAACATTAGGGCTTGAGTTCAGATTTGGAGATAAATGGTGCTTCTCTGTGTAGCTGGTGTGGTGGGCAAAGATCTTGCTTTCTTAAGATCTTCTATAGTGCTCCTCATTGTAGCATCTACCTTATTCTTGCACTTTGTATAGACAGTAGAGGTGCTGAGCAACTCCAATTGAAGTAATTCAGAATGAGACTACTCAGTGGCTGTTATGAAGTGCTCAGCATCTCAGAAGATGAGACCATAGGTGAATAAAACCAAATTGTTTCATTATGGACAGGAAAATTGGTTACAGTTATCTGTTTCGATGGAGAAAAGTATACTTTTCATTTTCTCTTCAGAAGAGTCAGTAGCCAAGTAAAATTGTTCTAACAAAGCCCTGTATCACTTTACACTGCGTAAATAGTAGATTATATGAAAGGAGATGTTTTCACAAATCCCATTTTATTTTTCAAAAACCTATCTTGCCATGCACCTTTAGCATCTTTTTGTACATTTATTATTTCATCTGAAAATTTGTATGCTTCCTTTAGTTAACCAGAGGGTTGAAGTGATTATGTTGCAGTCTATCTACATTTTTTGGAAAAGGGAGGGGGAATTCCACCAACTTTGTTACATACACACACCAGCATTGGATTTATTCAGTACGTACTTCTCTTATGGGTCTTGTATAATTAACAGATAACAAGGATTGTGGATCATCCTCTTGTCTTGCAAGATAAAAAAAAATCCCTATATGCATGCAACCTTTAAGTTCCATATTTGGTAATGTTCCATCTATTGCTGCTTTGATCAAAACTCTGATAACTGAAGCATTGCCATAAGCAATACTCTGATCTGAAGTCTGATGTGTAATTAGGGGATAGTATGTGATTTTTAAGATCATTGTTGTCTATACAATGCCCAATTAGTAGTTTAACATAGAAGTACAGCCTAAGGGCCCTAACTTTCCAATAGCTGACTGATAATGACAAAAGGATGCATGTTGCTTTTTTAAAGAAGTTGCCTAGTGCTTCTTGTTGGTGAAGAAGAGCGAAGATTTATCTAGGCCTTACCGATACTAAAATTGGCCTCTTTCAGCAATTGGTTTAGCTGATATAAATAGGGAAGCTGCAAATTTCATGGAAAAGCACTACAAAGCAGCTTTTCTTATGTATGCTAGGAGTTGGCATTGGTTCAGCTACACTGATGTCTATACCAGCAATTTGCTGAAATTGGAGGTAAGGCATCAAAAAGAGGAATATAGCATGGAAATGAAATACTTGTATGGAGCTTCATGAAAATATGTAAAGGTAAGATGAACTTTTAACTGCAAATATTTAATGAAATTAAAGGTTGTCACCAAAATTACAGGTTAAGAAACTAGAAGAAAAAGTAGACCTGGATTACATTGGAATTGGCTAAATTCAAATTGCCCTAGTCTGTTCTTTTTTTTCCTATTAGTATTAACAGATTTCCAAATGTGGCTGAGCTGGCTGTTTGGATGCAGTCTCTTCTCCCAGCTCCTAAATGAGGAAAAGTCTCTGAGTCAGTCTCTATTAAAATGTGGTACACATTATGAAAAGTTTGAGGTTCCTTCTATAGCAGGCCCTCCAGTGTTCCTGGATTCAAAAAAAGATTTGTCCTTGTGTGTTTGACCCCTTTGGTTTCATTTAGAGAAGAATTAACCTTGCTATTTCTCATTTGCAAATATTAAGCATGCTTTGCTAATGGTCTGTTTAGGCCAGTGTCAGGGAAGAAATAAACCTGATTATTTTAATAAGTCTCATGCTGGGAGGTTTATGGTAGTCTGTTCTATGTCTGAAAGAAAGTCAGTGATTGATCTTGCAATCCTTTTTATCATCCTAGGCCTGTAAGTACATGTATATTAAGTTATCAAGAAGGGAACTGGATCTGCGATGTTAGTTCTCCAGAGTTTCTATTTAACCACTGAAGCTTTTCCCCTCTGGTTTGAGAGGTGAAACAGCCTACACTGAGCAGTTCATACAGCAAAATCCTTGAGTAATTTACTATTCCATGTAATACTCCAAGTTGGTGGTGGGCAACCTGCGACCCACGGGCCACATGCAGCCAGTCAGGGTAATCCGCTGGCGGACTGCGGGACAGTGTTTACACTGACCGTCCGCAGGCCCAGCCGCCTGCAGCTCCCAGTGGCTGCGGTTTGCCGTTCCTGGCCAAGGGGAGCTGCGGGAAGCAGCCCAGGGGACCTGCTGGCTGCCACTTCCCACAGCTCCCATTGGCTGGAAACAACAAGCTGCAGGCGGCCATGCCTGCAGATGGTCAATGTAAACACTATCTCATGGTCCGCCAGTGGATTACCCTGATAGGCCGCAGGTTGCCCACCACTGCTTCAAGTTGTTCACTTGAGCTATTTGCCTGTCCAATTCACCATCCAATGCTGCAATGGTATTGTGCAGTTGGTTAGACTTAGTATATCAGATGTACATGTTTACTAGTGGTGATTATTCTGAAGCAAGGAGATTTGGATTGTCCTTTTTAAAGGCTGCCTGTATTGAAACTGAATAGTGTTGTAAGTGTTAGCATTCAAGAGTCCTACTTGATAACTTTGTTCCCTACTGATTAAGATTTTCTTTTCCCCTGTGCACTGAGCTGCCTAGGGTAAGGTACATAGGGCCGTGATTTGCCTTCCCCTCTTGTAATGGTGTGGCTAAGGGGAGATTGACTGTTGGTGATTTGGAACGGAGGCTGGAAATGTTTCCAGCCGTGGAACCTCAAGCAATTGCTTGTTCCAAAGACCAGTCCTAATGTTTTGTATTTATTACAGTGCATCAAAATTCTGCCACCTGAACCAGTCAGTCAAATCACTACCTTGCTCACCCCAAACAAAGTATAAAATATGAAGGGATTAAAAAAGGTTAACCTACTAAAATTAAATGTTTTAGTTTATTTGCTTTATCCTTATGTAGGCTGCTTGGAGTTTGAAAACACGAGCTCTAACGGAAATGGTTTATGTGGATGAAATTGATATAGATCAGGAGGGAATAGCAGAGATAATTCTTGATGAAAATGCCATTGCTCAAGTTGCACGTAAGTACAGACTTTCACCTAAATGTATTAAAATGATGTAAATTCTTTGTGGCAGGACTGTCATCTAGTATATAATTGTACAGTACATAATGTTATAGGGACCAACCTACTGTTGATTTTTAGGCATTATCACAATATAAGTGTTCAATAATATAACATGGCATTATAAAAGGTACATTGAGATTCAGCTGAAAGAAAAATAGTTTTGTTTACTAAATTTAGCAGTTTAATAGATTTTTAAATCTGTTCAGTTATGTAAAGCCCTCATCTCTTAAGGAATATAATAGCAGCATACCTAGCCTGGCATCAGGATGCATCTACTGTCACAGTTTACCTTTACTTGGTACCTTGAGTTCCTCTCTGGCTGGGCAGTTCATTTGGCGTGTACTTTATGCTGCTGCTTTGGCCTTTCAACCAAAGCAAAAGTCTGCTTTCAAGGCAAGATTCCTCCATCAGTCTTCCACTCGGGTTCAGTAATCCTTTTCCCCTCAGTGCATGGGTTTCTGTACCACTTCTCTAGGAGGTAGCACTGGTGGAGGTGGAAAGGACACGGATCCTTCCTCTAATATGTGTCCTACCCTTGGAATCCTAAATTGTGATTAGCAGTATGCCCTAATCTAAGACTGCTCTGCTGTGCTGTTTCCCAGGACCATTTCCTAGAAAGCTTGTTGGTGGTATGGCCTTTCCTAGTACACAAGCCCCTCCCCAGAGTCCTTCTTTGGCCCATCTCTAGGTCTCCTCTCTGGCCCTTTCCTGGCTTCTTCCACAGTGTCTCTCTCAGGATTCCTCACCATCTGCCTTTCTCAACAAGGAGTCATTATGAAAAAATATAGTCAGCCTGTAATTAAAACAAGGACTGAAAAGGAGGTGACCTCTGACTGGCATCTTAGGGAAAAATTGCCAGTAGCTAATAGATTAAGTTTATATCATGCAAATGAATGTTAAGCCAGGTGTATACAAATAAAAGTAGTTATCTACAGTAGGCAAGTTCAAGAGAGCTTTTGAAAGGAGAGCAACAGTTGGTTGAATAAGATAGGGGAGAACCCTCTAATAGCTGAAAGGCAGAGACCCAGCCTCTGAAAAAATGGTCACACTATTTTATTTATGTATTTATTTATTTATGTGACTAATGACTAAGGGGGATACTTCTGGAGAATTTGGGAATTGAAGTATATCAAGAGTTAATCTGAAAGAAAATTAGAACTTGCAGCGTGCTAAGGAATTTGGCTAACCGACGTGGGTGGCAGGGAGCTCCTTTGCTAAAGCAGAAGAACAGGGTGATTTACAGTTCTGGATGCCCCAAGAAAATATCAAAAGTCTAATCTGGACTACAAGGTCCCTGTCTTGAGGACCAGGTCTTCATTCTCTTTAAGGACCATGCAGCCTTAGGGTGGCTATTTACAAACGTTAAGTGATAATACTCTTATTTTGTAGGCCCAGGAACTTCTTTGAAACTCCCTGGAACCAGTCAGGGTGGAGGTCCCAGCCCAGCTGTTAGGTATCTATTTCCTTATGTTTGGCAGCTTTAACTTGTAAATATATTAAATTTAGGATCTGCACATTAATGTAACATATTAAGTTTAACAAATTACAAAATGTTAGGTTTAAATGTGTAGCGTTTCTGTATTGATAAATTGGTGGAAATACCACTTCTATTCCAGGATGACTTGAGAAGAGCAAATATAGTACCTGTCTTTAGAAAAGGGGTGGGGAAAGGAGCTGGGGAATTATAGACCAGTCAGGCTAACTTTGATACCTGGAAAGATACTGGAACAAGTGTATTAATTTATTTGTTAAGCACCTATAGGATAATAAGATGGTAAGTAATATTTGTCAAAAACAAATCTTGCCAAACCAATTAAATTTTTTTCTTTGTCTGGGTTACTGATATAGAGTGGATGGGGGAAGCAGTAAACATGATCTATGTTGATTTTAATAGGGCTTTTGACACAGTCCCATGTGACATTCTCATAAGCAAACTAGAGAAATATGATCTAGATGAAGTTACTGTAAGGTGGGTGCATAACTAACTGGTTGAAAGGCTGTACTCAAAGAATAATTACCAATGGCTTGCTATCAAGCTGGAAAGATATCTGTATGTAGTGAAGGCCCTCAGAGGTCCGTCCTGTATTTGATACTATTAAATGTTTTAATTAATGACTTGGCTAAAGAGTATCCTTATAAATTTTGCAGATTAAATCAAGATGGGAGGGATTGCAAGCACTTTTGGAGGATTAACATTCAAAACAACCTTGAGAAATTAGAGAATTGATCTTAAATCAACAAGATGAAATTCAATAAAGACAAGTGCAAGTACTACACTTACAAACAAACAAAAAAAATCAAATACACAACTACAATAGTACTGCTGTAAAGGATCTGTGGGTTATAATGGATCACAAATTGATTTTGAGCCACATTGTGATGCAGTTGTGAAAAAGGTTAATATCATCTAGGATGTATTCATTACCTCCTGTGTAAGACATAGGAGGTAATTATCCCACTCTGCTCAGCACTGGTGAGGCCTCAGCTGGAATAGCATATTCAGTTCTGGGCACCACGCTTTAAGAAAACTGGAAACAAATTAGAGGAAGTCCAGAGGACAGCAACAAAAATGATAAAAGGTTTAGAAAACCTGATGTATGAAGACAGGAATAAAAACTCGGTACGTTTAGTCTTGAGAAAAGAAGACTGAGGGAGGATCTGATAATAGTCTTCAAATATGAAAAGGGCTGTTGTAAAGTTGATAGTAATAAATTGTTTTCAATGTCCACAGCAGGTAGGACAAGAATTTGCATAATTTGCAGCAGGGAAGATTTAGGTTAGATATTAGGAAAAATTTTCTAACTCAGAGTAATTAAGCTCTGGAATAGACTTCTAAGGGAGGTTGTGGAATCCCTATCCTTGGAAGTTTTTAAGAATAGGTTAGACTAACACCGGTCAGGGATGGACAAAGTTTACTTGGTCCTTCCTCAGGCCAGGAAGCTAGAGTAGAAGAGCTCAAGGTCCCTTCCAGCTCTACATCTCTATGATTCTATGAACACATTTCCCTCATCTGCTCTTCATTTTAATATTTGTTGATTCAATTTAGGCCAGTGACTCAGTCAGGAAGACCTGTTACAGGGTTTGTGCGACCCAGCACACAAAGTGGACGACCAGGCACTATGGAACAGGCTATAAGAACTCCTAGAACCGCTCATACTGCTCGCCCAATTACTAGTGCTTCTGGAAGATGTGTCAGACTAGGAACGGTGAGTGACTTGGCTTTACTACTGTGAAGGATGGCTTTCCCTTCTGCGATGGTGTAGTTGAGCTTAAAAATTATGTCTGAAAAAAATCAAACTTGGGAAAGTTAGCTCAAGTAGATAGCCAAGCTCTATATTTAAAAAAATTGAATAAAATGCTATCAAACCTTACTTGTGTTTAAATATGCATAAAATTTCACAAAAATTTCCTGATTCTTCACTCACTGAACTCCATGAAGAAAACTGCTTCAACAGAAGCAGGATGGAGCCCTCTCCAAGTTTTCAACATTTTTTTTTTCTTTTTTTCCCCACTGTTAGAGAGCAATAGTTTCTTTAAAATCACCAGTGAGTTACTAAGATTAAATCTGGCTAAATTATGCTGTGTTAGTGAAATCACCAATAGTGTGTCTGGCTTGAAGACATAATGTAAACCTGGGTTTTTTTGGTAGGCAAAAATTGTTGTTGAACTCCTGCTATATATGCATATAACCAGTTCTTCCCAAGTCTTTGCAAAAAAGGCGTTTTTTTAACATACTCTACAGTTATAATTTATGTTTTTTTCCATTAAAGGTTTTTTCAGCTGATATTTGAAATGTATTTGTATAGTGTAATGGGTTCATTCTGTTTAACACTTTTTTTTTCAGGCCTCTATGCTCACAAATCCAGAGGGTCCTTTCATAAACTTGTCTAGATTGAATTTAGCAAAATATGCTCAAAAACCAAAGTTAGCAAAGGTATGTGACTATTTTGGTCAATGTTCTGCTATATTTAATATCACTTCAATGTTAATTTACCGTTAGTCTCTCTCGTCTTCTAGATTTTTAGGACCCTTTCCAGCCTAATATTTCCTCCACAGCTGCTGGACTATGGGAGTGCCACAATCTTTCAAGGTCCAGCAGCTGAGGAGTCTATTCGCTACTCAGAGAAGGAAGTACTCTCTTGTTAGCAGTACTAACACATTGCAATAGGTATTTCTCAATGCTAACAATCCTCAAATCCCCAATATTGTGGTAAATTGGGATTCGGGAAATAGACTTGTCTTATAAATCCAGAAATGAAGTGTCCAGCAGCAGTATTTAGAACCTCAATTGTCCTAATATGGGGTCAGCTATTTTTCCCCCCCACCTCCTTTAGATGGGGAAGGCTTTTTTTTTAAACAAACAAGACACCATCTGTGTGAGCACAGACATTGTACTTGGACACAAATGTACTCTGACATCTTTGTGTCCATCGGAAAAAGTAGCAAAGGCTGTTCAAACTAAAGCCTCACCTGTTTCTCCAGCCAACCATGTCTGAAGAAATTGCAGTCATAAGAGGGAGGGTCCTAAGGACTTCAAGAAAACATTAGGTCTTTCCCCTATTATGCCCCAATGGATGGAGCTGGAAGACCTCTCACCAATATATTCTTCTTGGTTCTCTCTCCTTCCCTTTCAAGATCTAAGATTAAGAAACTCCAACAGGCTGTTCAACCCCAGTAAGGGGAGATGGACGGGTCCAGTACAGGATATCAGCAATTCATTTACAGAAGCTCATTCCCTCCCTCCTGATCCAAGCTGCATAACTTCTAACTGCAGAAGGTTGTATGTGGGTGGCAGCCTAACATAGTAAGGCCAATGTATCTTCTACATAGGTTGCCAGACTCAAAATAGACACTCCAGAATCTGAGACCACAGATGTGCATGTACCCTCAGTATATTTTTATAATGCTGTTTGTTCTAATACACCTCCTTTGAAAAGAAATAAATGGGAATAATTACAGTCCACATATCCATTCTATGCTATTATAAAGACGACATTAAATTCCTTAAACTTGTAATCTTAAAGTGAGAAAACGTAATGTTTTTTCAGTTTACAGAATTGACGTTATTTTAAGGTGTATTTATGCTAGGTCCACAAATATTAGCAGTGTGACCCAGACTAGAAAACATTTGTGAAGAGGTAAAACTGAATCAAAGTTTAAAACGAGGCATTGAACATACATAAACCATTATTACGTTATGGTGATAGAACATTCAGTTACTTTCAAGAAATATTACATCAGCTAATGGATCTTGAACCATGCATACAAGACGGACAAAAGGCAATAAAATACCTTGTTCAGCCTCTAAGAAGAGAATTTTGTGGATGAATTTGGAGTATGAATAAAAGTCTACACTGTTAATCTAAAAAAGATTTAAAATGTTTGGATTTTTTCCTTCACTTTCAAAGCATGACTTACTTCCCTTTTTCGTATTAGGTCTGTTTTTCCACGAGCATTAGTGCTCATAATTTTTTTAGTCTGTTTAGTTCTCATGATTGACAGCAAGAGAAACTGAAGTCCTCTACCAACACAATAAGTATATCAGTGTGCCTTCCCTCACAAATGTAACTCAGTCCTTACCTGAAAGATGCAAAGATGATCTTGTTTCATGTTTTATCATTGGGTCACCTCTCAATTGTGTCTCTTTACTAGAGTGCCAGTTGAGTTGTTGTCTTTATGTGGATACCTGCCCACAAGGAAGTGGACTGATAGCCACAGTTCACTTTGCATAGGCCACTGAAAGGCTATCAGATGGGCTGATTCTCTTCTGTCCTGAGCTGTATTTGACTATTGACTTAGAAGTGGAAGTCCCTTTTTTGAGGCATGCAATCGTGAGCATTGCACATCTGCCTTTAAATCTGTTAATGGCAGTCAGCCTATCTAGGACTGTAGTTAATACACACTTATTGGTACATTGTTATACAAAAACAAACCCTATCTTTATAAAGGTCTTAAAGAGGAATATGTGGGCGATTCCTGAAGCCTAGATAGGTGAGGATTTCTCTTGAACTCTGAATCCTCTTTTCTTCTAAGCTTAAGGCACTTAAATAAAAATTTCATTAAAATGTGACAGATTTTTTAATCAATCAGATGGTGTTCTGTATGCAAATGTGTGTACTGCAACTAAATGTGCAGATTTGGAAACTCTGCATGCAGATGGATAGTTAGGTTGCTTGCATACTCACATTCCAGATTGACACCTTCAGTTGCAGTAATAATATGCCATAGAAAATGCCATAGAAATTTTTACTCCTGAGGGCATTCTGCAACAAAAAAAATTAAAAATTCTGCGCACAATATTTTAAAATTCTGCAAATTTTATTTGTCAGATAAACGTGGAAGCTCCAGAATTGCAGTGGGGATAACAGGCCACTGGCTGCAGAGAGGTGGGAGATCAGACTCAGCAGTGAGGCTGTACCCAACCCTGACACAGCACAAGGACTGGGCCTGCCCCAGAAACACCCCAGGGCCCTTCCCCTCCATACCAGGTGTAAGCAGGCAGGCTCAGCAAGGCACGATCCAAGTGTGGAGGGACTTAGTATGGGGAGATCCAGGTGTGGGTTGAGAGGGTTCTTTTGGGGGCAGTCTGTGTGCGGATGGCTCAGTGGGGGATCTGGATGCACAGGGCCTTGTTGGAGGGTTCTGGGTGCAACGGTAATGGGACTCTTCAGGGGGGGTTAAGGTGAAGGTAGTTTGGGAGGTTAGGGGGAGTCTGGGTGTGGAGGGCTCAGTGGGATGGGGATCCAGGTGCAGCTGGTTGGGGCTCGGTAGGGTGGGGATCCAGGTACAGGTGGCTCAGCGGGACGGTTCAGGTGCAGGGGGAGTGGGGCTCCTCAGGAGGGGTTCTGGGTGCAGCAGGGAGCTGTGAGGGTTTGAGGGGATCTGGATGCAAAGGGTTGGGCGGATGGGGGAGCAGCTCCCTGTACAGCGATTCCTCCTCCTGCAGCTGAGGAGCTATGGATGCAGGAAGCACAAGGGAGGGGAGAGTTTTCAGAGCTTCCTACAGCCAAGGAAAAATCTGGGGGTGAGTCTGACATAGCCCTGGATGCTGTGCAGGGGAAGAGGAAGTCCCATCCTCCCAAGCCCAGCCAGGACTAGCAGCTGAGCCCGGTGCATGGTAGAAACCACTAGCCAGGTCTTCCCCAGTCCTGCCCCATAGTGATTTACCTAACTGCCAGCTGCCTTGGGCACCCAAAACATGCTTCTGGGAAGGGACACATGACCGCTCTTGTGGCTTCCATTTGCTTTCCCCTCAGAAAGTCACTTTTCTGTGAAGTAAAGAAATCTGTAGGGGACTTAAATTCTGCGCATGCACGGTGGTGCAGAATTCTCCCAGGAGTAAGAAATGTAGGACTGGAAGGGTTCTCAGTAGGTCATTATTTCAATACCTGCACTGAGGCAGGATTAAATATTGTCTAGACCTCCTCGAGAGGTGTTTGTCTAACCTGTTTTTAAAATCTTCTGATTGAGATTTTACAGCCTGCGTAGGTAAATTGTTCAATGATTAACTAACTCTGCTTACCATTAGAAAGTTTTTCATAATATCTAATTCTCCCTTGCTGCAATTACTTCTTGTCCTATCCTCAGTAGTCAAAGAGCAGTTTATCACCCTTCTCTTTAGAATAAGCTTTTACGTACTTGAATATTATTATGTCCCCCTTCAGTCTTCTTCACTAGAAGAAACAAACCCAGGTTTTTTTGGTCTTTCCTCATAAGTCATGTTTTCTAGACCTTTGATGATTTTTGTTGCTCTCCTCTGGACTTTCTCCAATCTGTTCACATCTTTCCTAAAGTGCGATATCCAGAACTGGACACAATACTCTAGTGGAGGCCTTCTCCGTGCTGAGTAGAGTGGAAGAATAATTTGTGTCTTGCTTACAACTCTCCTGCTAGTACATTCCAGAATGTTTGCTATTTTTGCAACAGCATTACATTGACGACTCATATTTAGTTTGTGATCCACGTATGCAAACACATGCATACATTTTTTAAACAGCATCTGTCTTGAAAACTTAGCATTTTTTCAAAAGCTGAAGTGAATCATCACTTTCAGCTCAGAAGGGGCTTAGGCTAATGAATCTTACTAGACACATCCACAAGGAGCAAGTACAATTATCAATGTTAGAAAGCTAACGTAATATGACATTAATATTTCTTACAGAAAGTAAGACGAGTTAAAATGTGCAGCTTTATGGATTTTACAATTTATTTTTTTTAAGGAGAAGACAGCATTGATTCTAAAGCCAAAGCATGATGAAGTTTTAAGATCCTCGTTTCATTTTGTGTTAAGGATTGTTGCTTAAAGCTGTAAAACTCTGCGCTATCACCTCTCCAATGTGCAAAGAAATAATAAATCTCAACCATTAAGTTCACATAGCTGTGTAACTGTGTGAAATAAAAATGTTAAATGAACCAAACTGTATCATAGAATCTCATTGATAGCAATTCCATGCTCTAATAATAAGAATATAGCAGTAGGGATATATTACCGACCACCTGACCAGGATAGTGATAGTGACTGGGAGATTACTATTAGTCATTAGTGATAATGCTCAGGGAGATTAGGAAGGCTAACCTACAAAACAAAAAGCACACAGTAATAATGGGGGATTTCAACTATCCCCATATTGACTGCATACATAGCACCTCAGGACGAGATGCAGAGACATTTCTTGACACCTTAAATGACTGCTTCTTGGAGCAGCTAGTCCCGGAACCCATAAGAGGAGAGGCAATTCTTGATTTAGTTCTAAGCGGAGCACAGGATCTGGTCCAAGGTGTGACTATAGCTGGACTGCTCTGTAATGGTGACCATAATATGATTAAATTTAACATCCCTATGGTGGGGAAAACACCACAGCAGCCTAACACTGTAGCATTTAATTTCAGAAAGGGGGACTAAACAAAAATGAGGAAGTTAAACAGAAATTAAAA